TTCTGCACCTAGCCTGGCACCATCAGTAAACCTCATGGCACCTGGGTTTCCCCCGTGACCTCCTGCACCTAGCCTGGCACAATCATTAAACCCCTTGGCACCTGGGTCTGTCATATGACCTGCTGCACATTGCCTGGTAACATCAGTTAACCCATAACACCTAGGTCTGTCATGAAACCTCCTGCACCTAGCCTGGCACCATCACTCAAACCCTTGGCACCTGGGCCTGCAGAATGACCTGCACCTTGCCTGGCATCATCAGTAAACCCCTTGGTACCTGTGTCTGTCCAATGACCTCCTACATCAAGCATGTCACAATCAGACAACCCAAAGTACCTGGGTCTATCCTGTGATCTTCTGCAGCACATAGCCTGGCATTTTCAACAACCCCTTGGCACCTGGGGTTGTCCTGTGACATCCGGTACTTAGCCTGGCACCACCAGTTAACACCTTGACACCTGGGTCTGTAGCGTGACCTCCTGCACATAGCCTCGCACAATCTATAAACCCCATGGCACAAGGATCTACCAGTTACATCCTGCACCTGGTCTGGCACCATAAGTCAACCCCTTGACACCTGGGTGTGTCCCGTGATATCCTGCACATAGCCTGGCACCACCAGTCAACCCCATGGCACAAAAGTCTGACATGTGACCTTCAGCACCACTCTCCTGCCTGTACCCTCTCATCTCACTCTACCCCCCTCCACACACTCACCTGTCTCTCTTCTCTCATCTCACTTTACTCCCCTCCACAAAGTGACTTGTCTCTCATTCTAGATTTAAAGCTTTCGTGACTGCAAGGATTCATACTCTTTGGTTCTTTCGGTAAAGTCACGTAGGTAAAAAATTAAATAAAACAAAAAAATAAAACTAAATCAAATCACGATGTTTCGGAGGCAACACAAGCTTCCGTCATCAGGTGGCAACAGTCACAGCAAAATTACTGTGGTGAGTCGAGAGAGCTGTTTGTGACAAGAGATTGTATCGGGTAAGAAGGGGGGAGGAGCCAGGGAGGACGGATGCAGGGTGGGGGGGGGGTGTTGGGGGATGGAGATTAGAGAAGCTCCTGGGCATGGTACTCATGTACCACGGATGGGGGGGGGGGGGCGGGGGAGAGTGGGATGGGGGACAAATTTGCACGACTGAAACATTGCACGTCAAATTTCATAGTGATGGTAGTGTGTAAGGCTGGGAGTAAAAGACCGGAGATATGAATATAAACTATGAGGCAGCTAAAGTTTAACTTGGTTAATAACATCCTACCAATGATTGCTCGATTGCTCAACACTCTCGTCCACTCACCTACCTCTCCCCTCTCACATCACTCTAGTCCACACACTCACCTGTTTCTCCCCTCTCCTCAATCTACTTCCCTCCACACACTAATCCGTCTCTCCCCACTCACCCTACTCGACTCCCCTCCACACTAACCTGTCTCTCCCCTTTCATCTCTCTACGCCCCTCCACACACTCACTGTCGCTCCCCTCTAATCCGACTCTACTCCCTCCACATACTCTGCTGCCTGTCCCCTCTCATCTCACTCTACTAAACTCCACATACACAACTATCGTCCACTCTCATCCCATTGTACTCCCCTCCCCACACACACAATCACTTCCCCCTCATCTCACTCTAGGCCACAATCACCTGTCTCTCTCCTTTCATCTCATTCTACTCCTCTCCCCACTCACTGTCACTCCCCTCTCATACCACTGTAGTCCCCTCCACACACTCACCTGTCTCACTCCTCTCATCCCACTCTACTCACCTCAAAACACTCATCCATCTCTCCCCGCTCATCGCACTCGAAACCCTCCACACACTATCCTGCCTCTCTCCCCTCTCTTCTAACTCTACTCCCCTCCACAAACTCACCTGTCTCTCCCTTATCGTCTAACTATACTACACTCCATACCAGTCTCTCCCCTCATTTCCATGTACTCCCCTCCACACACTCACTGTCGCTCCTCTTGAATCCCCCTCTACGCCGCTCCACAAACTCCGCTTCCTCTGTACTCTCTCATCCACTGTGCTCCCCTCCCCACACTCACTAGTCTCTCGCCTTTCATCTCACTACTCCCCTCCACACACTAATCCATCTCTCTCCCCTCATCTCACTCTAGGCCACACTCAGCTGTCTCTCTCCTCTCTCATCTCACTCTAGGCCACACTCAGCTGTCTCTCTCTCCTCTCATCTCACTCTAGGCCACACTCAGCTGTCTCTCTCCTCTCATCTCATGCTACTCCTAACCCCACACTGTCACTTCCCTCTCATACCACTGCAGTCCCCTCCACACACTCACCTGCCTCTACCCTTTCACCCTCACTCGACTCCACTCCACACACTCACCTGTCTCTCCCTCTCATCCCAATCTACTCCCCTCCACAAAGTCACCCGTCTCTCCCCGCTCATCTCTCTCTACTCCTCTCCACACACTATCCTGCCTCTCTCCCCTCTCTTCTAACTCTACTCCCCTCCACAAACTCACCTGTCTCTACCCTCTCTTCTCACTCCCCTCTGCTCTACATTCACCAGTCTCTCCACTTATCTCAATGTTCTCTCCTCTACACACTCACCTGCCTCTCCCCTTCCATCTTACTCTACTCCTCTCCACACACTCACATGTCTCTCCCCTCTCATCCCACTCGACTCCCATGCACACAATTGTCTCTTACCTCTCATCTCACTGTACCCCTCCACACACTCCCCTGCCTTTCCTTTTTCACCTCCCTCGACTTCCCTCCACACACTCACCTGTCTCACCCTCTCATCACACTCTACTCCCATCAATAAACTCACCCGTCTCTCCCCGCTCATCTCACTCTAAAACCCTCCACACACTATCCTGCCTCTCTCCCCTCTCTTCTCACTCAAATCTGCTCCACACTCACCAGTCTATCCCCTCATCTCAATGTACTCACCTCCACACACTCACAGTCACTAACCTCTCATCCCACTGTACTGCCCTCACACACTCCCCTGCCTCTCCCCTTTGACCTCACTCTACTCCCATCCACATACTCACCTGTCTCCCCCTCTCATCCCAATCCACTCCCCTCCACAAAGTCACCCGTCTCTCCCCGCACATCTCTCTCTACTCCTCTCCACACACTATCCTGCCTCTCTCCCCTCTACTCTTGGGTTCTATTCGGTAAAGTCACATAGGTAAAAAATAAAACAAAAATCACGACGTTTCGGCCACAACACAAGCGGCCTTCATCAGGTGAAAGGACCAGACTGTCTCGAAGACTGCGCTGGAGTGAAACAGAGCCAAGCTTAGACTACGACCTTTAAGCTGTGTGAGAGGGATTAAGGTGCCTTGACAAAGGAATTACCATAAAAAATTAGCATTTCATTGGCGGACTTAGCATGATGAAAGGTGTAGCACACGGCAGTGCACCTTTAAGATGTGTGAGAGGGATTAAGGTGCCTTGACAAAGGAATTGGCGTAAAAAATTAGCATTTGATTGGCAGACTTAGCATGATGAAAGGTGCAGCTCAGTGATCGGCACCGGCAGTGCAACTGCCTGTGCTGTGAAAGTTTGAGGTACCACTACTTGAAAAAATATACTGTACCAATTAAAATTAGTTTAATGTTTGGTTCGATTTAGAACATCTTTCCAATGGTTGCTTAATTTGAAACCATCTTCTCGGTTGAAATTGTGTCTGTGTTTGTAGATCTGAATTGCCTCATGAACAAATCTCTGATAAAAACCTGATTTGAAACACGGCAGAACGAATTATTCTGCCTTGGCTGATCACTGTTACAACGCTGTGGGTGATCACGATATAATTTTCTCCGATACCAAGGTTCTTTGCAAACCCACAGGTTGTAACAGTGATCAGCCAAGGCAGAAGAATTCGTTCTGCCGTGTTTCAAATCAGGTTTTTATCAGAGATTTGTTCACGAGGCAAATTCAGATCTACAAACACAGACACAATTTCAACCGAGAAGATGGTTTCAAATTAAGCAACCATTGGAAAGATGTTCTAAATCGAACCAAACATTAAACTAATTTTCATTGGTACAGTATATTTTTTCAAGTAGTGGTACCCCAAACTTTCGCAGCACAGGCAGTTGCACTGCCGGTGCCGATAACTGTGCTACACCTTTCATCATGCTAAGTCCGCCAATCAAATGCTATTTTTTTACGCTAATTCCTTTGTCAAGGCACCTTAATCCCTCTCACACAGCTTAAAGGTCGTAGTCTGAGCTTGGCTGTGTTCACTCCAGCACAGTCTTCGAGACAGTCTGGTCCCTTCACCTGATGAAGGCCGTTTGTGTTGTGGCCGAAACGTCGTGATTTTTGTTGTTTTATTTTTTACCTACGTGACTTTACCGAGTAGCACCAAAGAGTATGGATCCTTGCAGTCACGAAAGCTTAAAATCTCTCCCCTCTCTTCTAACTCTACTCCCCTCCACAAACTCACCTGTCTCTCCCTTCTCATCTCACTCTGCTCTGCTCCACACTCACCAGTCTCTCCCCTCATCTCAATATTCTCTCCTCTACACTCACTGTCGCTCCTCTCAAATCCCCCTCTACGCCCCTCCACACACTCTGCTTCCTCTGTCCCCTCTCATCCACTGTACTCCACCTCCACACACTTCCCTGCCTCTCCCCTTCTATCTTACGCTACTCCTCTCCAAACACTCACCTGTCACCCACTCTCGTCCCACTCGACTCCTCTCCACACAATTGTATCTTACCTCTCATCTCAGTGCCCCTCCACACACTCCCCTGCCTCTCCCTTTTCACCTCCCTCGACTCGGCTCCACACACTCACCTGTCTCACCCCTCTCATTCCTCTCTACTCCCCTCAAAAAAATCACCTGTCTCCTCTCATCTCACTCTACTCTCCTCCACACACTCAACTGCCTCTCCCCTCTCATCCCACTCTACTCCACTCTACACTCACCAGTCTCTCCCCTCATCTCAATGTACTCTCCTCCACACACTCCCCTTCCATCTTACTCTACTCCCCTCCACAAACTCACCTGTTTCTTCCCTGCGAGTTCGTGTTGCATTGTAGCCATGCCAGCTGCCCCGGGGAGCGCCAGGACCTGCGCGCAGTTCCAGGTAGGCGAATGGCGCCGCTGGTGTTGAGTTCCCACCACACTCGCCGCGCCACAGCTGGGTGCAGACCCCAGCTGCGCTGTGGGGGCGGGGGGCAGACACAGAGAGAAGCAGATGCTCGCCGATTGATTCGCTGCTGGGTGGACGACGTGGCAGCGGATCGACGTGCAGAGGGGGAGCACAGGAGGGAGGAACAGGATCAGGATCTGCCCGAGCAGACTCCCACCACAGGGAGTTCATGGAATATTCTTGATTCCTCACGGGATACGGTTGTTCTTGCTCTATTTCACCCTTGCAAATGCTTCCAAGCTCCTCTCTCGAGTCCTCACCTGGTGACATAAAATCAACTCTGGGACACTTAAGAATCGTGTCTGGTTCACAGGTGTGTTTCTGGGTCGTGCCGCGAGGCGTGGTTCAGCACGATGAGCAACGTCTTGCTCCACGTGTTGGGAGCTCGTGCAGGAACTGTGGGGAAGGCGGTGTTGGTGGGCGGGGACAATCGGGGTGGGACGGCTTCACGAGTAGCGAGACAACAACATATGATGAGGACGCCTGTCTCCACGGCTGCATCCCATCGTAACAGCAATGCCGGCGATTGAACTAAGACACCGTGAGGCGGGTGCCGCCACATTTGGATGTTTGACGACAAATTCCATTACTCGTCACAGATTAGCATCATGTGGGAGGAAACCGGAGACCCCGGGAGAAAACCTGCCATGTGTAAGTGGAGACAAGAGGCTGATATTTAGGAATCCACTGCACACGTATCACGTGTCGCTGTGCACCACCTGCCCTTCCCGCACGCGTTCTGGGAGTAGCCGGTGAGCCGGTGGCTCCATGCGCCGGCGACGATCGTGCAGATCGACTCTCCACCACCGGGGGGTCCTGGTCCTGAAACAACAACAACAAACACGAAGATTCCCCCATAGCCTCAATGCTACGTTGGGGCAAGTGCCGAGTTGAAACCACGTGCTGAGTCTGTATGGTGTCTCCCTTTTTTGCAAAGTGTAGAGTGTGAGCGAGTATATATGTGTTTGGGAGCGTGTCTGAGTGTGTGATAATGTACAAGTGTTTGCGAGTGGGGAGCAGTAGCGTAGTGGCGTGAACCCAGCGAACCGAGTTCTATTCCTGCTCACGACCATTATCAGTGACAAATATACAAACCTGTTCCGAGCCTCCCCTAAATCAGCCTTAAATGAGTACAGGCAGTTCCTGGGTTACGGAAGACCCGACTTTATGAAAATGAATTTTGATTTAAAGCTTTCGTGACTGCAGGGATTCATATTCTTGGTTCTTTTAGTGAGAATTTTATTGTTTTATGAAAATGCTCTGATAAATGCATAAAAAAAATTAAGATGCAGAAATGTTTGCATAAGTTAAGCAAGCGCAAATAGTGCAGCGCGGTGAGGTTGCGGATGAATACCGCGGAGGGACGCATAAGGCACGCCGCCTTACGCCTCACTCCACCAAAACGCCTCCTTCACCAAGCCCCACCACGATTATGGGCAATGTAATTTTTGTACACCATTACATTATTGTTTGTTTTCTATGCTTCGAATTATCTTTTCCCCCATGTTTCTATTGTTAGGTTTTTACTGTATTTAATGTGCGTGCATGTGTGTGCGTGTGTATGTAAAGTCTAGGCCTAGCCTAATGCACGGTAAACAAACATTCGGAAGTGACTGCTTTCTGTTAACGATTTTTATTAAAATGTTTCGTGGTATTCATAAACAATTGGATCCAGAATATGTTCCATTAGTTTAATTATGGGTAGTGTTATTCGATTAAATGAAAAACGAATATGAAGTGCAGAGTATGTACAGCAATAGAATATAGGTAGCAATAGAAAACAGCGCAATACAGTCCTGAGGGAAAACGAACTAGTATTCAGGTAGGGGAGGCACAACTATTTCTGGCTATTGGATTTTAGCTTTATTTCAGGGACAAATTGTTCAGTTACTGACATATGGAAAATTCGGGTTACGGATCGTTCTCAGGAACCTAACCCTTTCGTAACCCGGGGACGACATGTACCTGGTGCTGTGTGTAAAACATCAGCACTGGGGAGACTAAGCCAGGTGTAGTGTTGGCCACCCACCCTCTCGTGTGATGTGTCGACCTTCACAGGTGCTCTCGAACAGCACTTTTCCCAGGTAGCGTTTGTCTGCAGACTGCCCGATATGATATAATCACAACTTTCTGGACCACAGAGGACGCGTGCTGCAGGATTGGAAGGATGCCTTAGTGGTCCCCCTCTATAAGGGGGACCGTACTACCGGAGCATCTTCCTACTCAGCGTGCCGGGAAAGGTCCTAGCAAAAAAATGTTCAACATCGCCCTCTCGCCAAACACACCGAGGAAAGGCTTGCAGTGCCCGAGTGTGGCTTCAGACGGGGCGGCCTGCACGGATGTAGTATTCTCTGTCCGTCTGCTATAGCAGCAGCAGATGCAGCCAAAGCAGCTCCACTTCTCAGGAAGAAATGCGAACTTGGCTTCCGATGAGGTGGACTCGCCGTGTTCATGATGCAGGTGGTGTCCACCTCCATGAAAACAACCCCTCAGTGTAATAGGGTTTTTCCCCTTTTTTCTGGCAACGAAACTGAAACCTTTTTACAAGGATTCATGTCTGGTCGAGCACCAATTGGGTCGAGGCTCGAAAGAAAGCCGTCCCTTGGTGTGGACCAATCAGTTTCAAGGACAATGCATATATTATCATAGTATGTTTTCCTGTTTGCATTTTGACTGCAAGTATTGTGGTTAATGCAGACATGAATCCTTGTAAAAAGGTTTCAGTTTCGTTGCCAGAAAAAAGGGGAAAAACCCTATTATTATATTTTGGTACTGGCAAAGGAGGTCTAATGATGTAGATGCTAACCCCTCAGTGTTTAGTGGCAGCAGTAGTAGAGGAAGGCACGCCATAAAGGAGCGCGCGTGACAGAGGGGAGCACAGAAATTGTTATAACAGTTTATTATAGTCATGAATAATGTTACCATCTTCGAAATATTATCGTTGTTTATCAAGTAGAATGCAATGTTGTTCATTTTATCATAGTTTATTGTTCTAAACAATGTTAAGAATGTTATAAAGGTTGTCAATGTTGATATAGAAGAATGCAATGTTGTTAATGTCGATTTAGTTCATAATACAGTTGACTCAATTATCCGCTTGCGATTTATCCGATTTGAGGATTAACCACGCACCTGATATTGACACAAATTAAAAACTCATGGATGTTTCCCTTAATCCCAAATTAATAATCTAAAAACAGTGATACACTTATTCATGGAAGTGTTTATTACAAGTCACGTGCTCCGGCTAATCTGAAATCCATGTGATCGCCCCTACGGTACAGTAGTTGCATATCTTTACAACAGTGGGCGGAGTTTGATGTTGATTGGCGTGGCTCTGCTTCTGTCCACTTAGTGGGCCGAGTCTTCTGCGCGGGAGCAGGAAAGTTATCCCTGAGCCATGTGCATCGTTCAGTCGATCGTTAGCATTCGTTCTAAATCAAATACTTTTGTAACAAAAAACAAGATCAATACATTCTTTACTAAAAAAATGTAAAAAAAAATATTTAAAGCTTTCGTGACTGCAGTAATTAATATTCTTAGCTCTTTCGGTAAAGTCACGTTGAAGGGAAACAATAAAATAATAAAATATATAAAACAATAAAAATTCTCACTATTCCCCCCTATGTTCACTCGTGAGAATTTGTATTGTTTTATATATTTTTTATTATTTTATTGTTTCCCTTCAACGTGACTTTACCGAAAGAGCTAAGAATATAAAAAAATGTTGTTCATTAACAAACTCAATTTCCTTAACTTAAACATAATGTAAATCTATATTAGTGGTTTTTGGCAAAGAGATGCACGTAAAATGGATATTTTTGGATGGTCCGCAATTTTTAATTAGCCACGGCTGTCCTCCTCGGCATTAGCACGGATAATCAAGAGGCTACTGTATTGTAAAATATGTTACCATTTATCAATGTTGATACAGTAAAATGCAATGTTAATGGGGGAGAACATACAAACTCCACACGCTCTCTTATACTCACTCTTATATTCACTCACTCAACCTCTTGCATACTCACACTGCGGAATAGCGGGCGAACATACAGAATCCACATGCTCTGATACTCACTCGCACACACACACACGCTCTTACCAAATAAATACATTAATTTTAAAAATGTAAAGGTGCAACCCTGGAATTGCTTGCTCACGTCACTGTTGGTGGAAGGGGCCTCCAGTAGAAGGAGCTCTAGTAGGAAAGCCGTGATCCAGCAGTACATTGAACATCGCTGTAAATAGAAATGTGTGGCACCCATGAAATCATAGAAGTCATGTTACCGGCTTCCTGGACTACCTGGGACAGCTTTCCCTGACACTCCCCACCGGCTCGCGGTTGACGACGCACTGACAAACCAGAGTGACTATGCCAATATAGTAAACCTTCTCTATTCACGAGGGTTACAGCCTTGTGTTGCAGTCGAAACGTCGCGAGAATTTTATTGTTTTATATATATTTTATTGTTTCCCTTCAACGTGACTTTACCGAAAGAACCAAGAATATGTAGAAATCTTGTTCACAGTAAAAATGTGATAAGTTATTGATAAGAGAACACAGCACTGGGTGGCGATAGCCGCAACACTTTCCCCGATTGCATTCGCCTCATTCTTGCTGGATCTCACAGTCCACGCCAAAATGTCGGCCTATCACAGACGTGCTCTCGAGTGCTAAAATGATAACTGTGCGTTGTTGTTATCAAACACCTGCATCTCCCGATGAGTCGTCCACCTGAATTCCTCACCATCTCCATTGTCATCAAATCATCATGAAAGGTAATAAAACGAATTGTCATTCATATTTTATTATTTATTGTAGTCAGTGGTATTAAACATTTACTATTCCCCCCTATGTTCACTCGTGCCAGGAACGTAACCCCATTTTTCCTGGTCAACAAGGTTTCTACATTCGCGCGCGTTTTCAAGAACATAACCCTTGTGGTTTGAGAGGGTTTACTGTCCATATTTTATCCTGGAAGAAGCCAGTGTTATTGACGAATGCGTCCATGTATTTGTTGTTGTGCTTGTGTACCACTGCCAAAGTAGAAACACCAAGTCATTCGCTGTGCGCTGTGTACATGAGAGCAAACAGTCGGTGCGGTAGACCAACATTGTTAACATGGGTGAGGGAATGAATCTGACTGCTCACCCTTCATCTAGATGAATCATCGATTGTGCATTTCATATAGTGTACCGTCAAAATACACGACTGCATTCTTCTTCAGGGTCATTTTCAATGACGCGACACAACTGGGTGGGATCGTTTTGCATTATTTCACCGATTTCAGGCTCACAGCCTTGCAGGTCAATGCCGCGCAAAGAACACATTGGCAGTTCAAACGTCTTTTGTGCATTCCATGTCGCCTTGGGTCTCATAAAGCCATCCTCACTGTCGATGTGATGGTAACGTCTGTCACTAATGGCTTCTCTAGGCCAGTGGTTCGCAACCGGGGGGGGGGGGGGGTACGTGAGGTGATTTATAAATGTGTGAAATTATAGCAAACATGAGTCACTGGTGAATAATCACGTATGAATCTGCCAATAGAAAATTACGACGCTAACATCGAAGTCCATATCGTGACCTAGATCGGTATAAAAGACCTTTCTAAATTAATTATCAACAATGTTGTTTCCAAAAGTAACCAGCGAGCGCGAACAAATTACGCCGTTGATTTGTTTTATTCGCTTACAAGTTACTGGCTAGTTAGGGATACCTCACAAAATGGACAACTGGTTAACATTGATGTCCATTAGTCATACATTTATTTCTCAGAGCCGTGATGGGTCAGGCAAGCGAGGGTAATCGGTTGAAACACAATTCTACAAGAGGGCTAATAGTAGCCAGAGAAGGTTGCATTCTTTTTAAACGAATCTAGACAGAATATATTCAAACCTACGAACATAAATGTACAAAAGACACTTACATTGACGACTTGGTTAAGTTTGACTTTTAAACGCTTATCTTAACACTTGTTTTCGATAGAAAGTAAAATAAACATTGAGTGAACCTCTAGGTGGGGGGAGGGGGTAACGCGCAAAACGATTCTGTGATATTTCCACGAATGTTAGTACAGTAGCATTTGTCCCGCCAAAATACTGTACACGTGAGTTTTACTCAAACTTGCCGCTACCAAAAACTGCAGCCCTTAAGCGTCGGGCACAAAGAGAAGACTACATACCTGATATATAAAATCTATATGTAACACAACAATAATATATGCATAGTCAAGAGCTTACTTACCGACCGCTGTTGTTTGCGAGGGCTGGCAATTTGCGATGGCGGCCCCGCCCGCCGATCCTCGGGTGTGGGTGGGGTGGCTCACACCACGCCCGGCCGCCTTTGTCTCCCCGGTGGCGATGTTTACACACCGTACTCATTTGATGCCGAGTCGACCTCGGAGTGTCCCAGGACCACCTCGTACAATCGTCACCCGTGTTGGCCGTGAGCGGGAGTCGCGAGTAGCTCCCCACGCGCCGCCATGACAGTGCCGCCACCAACACCACGTGGCCCCCACCTGGGTCACGTGCTCAGGCGGCACGCGCAGCACAGGAGAGTGAGAATCTGACGGCTGAGCGCAGGGCACGTGGTAATACGATCCCATCGTTGTAGCGTAGCGGCCCTTGCCAACACGGGACGCGTTTGGTTGATCGGCCTCCGCTTGTTTCGGGAACATGTTCTCGTGTTGCGAACAAATTGAGCGTTATAGCAGACTCTAGTGAAGGAGAACGCTCGTTAAGCGAGACGCGCCTGTGGTTGGGAAACGAAACGACGTGAATGCAAATGTTGCAATGAAACCACAAATATACAAATGAGCGATCAAATCACAGCATCCGTGAGAGATGGTGTGTGCAAGATGAGTTTGTTGAAGTTGAACTGCCGGCTCCACTCAATTTCCAAAGTGTCTTTCCACTTGGGCGAAGACTCACCACCTCAGCTGCCTGGACGCACACTTCGCAAGCAATTTCCCTGATTTCGACGTGAAAAGGTGTCACTAGGCACGAAACCCATTTCAATGCCCAGCCTAAAACAATGGATGTGACCGCGGCTGAAACGAAACAACTCGTTGAAATGTCACGTGATTAGTTGTTTTTTTCTCACGGAAAAGAGAGAATCCGCAAACCCCGACATCTTAACGCGTGCCTCGAAACCGATGGTGCCCTTTGCAAGCATGTAGTGTACACGTGAGTGAGCGCACTGACTTTGGATGTGACCGCTGAAGGTGGGATGTGCAATGTCAGCCACACCGCAAGATTTTGAGAAGCTGTGTCGCATGCCTCAAGCAACACGCGTCTCGACACTCGACCTGGTGAGTCCAAATTATTGCTTCATTTCTTTATATATAAAAATAATAATATTTGTTGTTCTGTAATACCGACACAAAATTAACGTACAGAATATCCTGTCACTTGAAATGTTTTTAAATTATGGTTATTGTCAGTTTAATAGGAATTTTGTATTCAAATAGGGTCATATTGCAAAATTGTTTTGAAAGTGCTGCTATACAGTGCGGTTAAATTGCAATCTTCAGAATCGAATATTAGTGTAATTGATTAATTGCAAATATTGGAGGTTATTCCACACAATCAAAATATTCAAGTTGATCTGTGCAGAGTCCCAAAGACGCCAAGCGTCCAGCAACAAACAGCACCATCAAATGTCAAAGGAATGAGACCCACGTGAGTATTGAACACATCGAACACAGAGCCTAGGACGAGAGTGGGCGGGGCAGAAGTGGTGGTTACATCGAGTTTCCCCCTCCCAAAGGAATGTGGAATATTGACCACCTTGCTGAGATGCATACAGAATGGCATTGCACCCCATGCTCGTTTGGAGCAGCAAGACTCAGATTTTTCAGTTTATGCCAAAACACACTTTCATTTACAAAAGCAAACCTTACAGCTCATTTGCGAGTCCACTGCTGTACAAGGGCCTCCACACACCGTGTCGGTCATTTTTGTTGTTCGACCATACTTTACCATGCTGCTCGGTATGGGTTGGGGGGGGGGTACAGGATCTGTTCAGATGTCACCGATGTCAGCCATGGCCAGGAATCAAACTCAGATGGCGCAGTGCATGAACCACTGCATCATCACTCCATCCATTATCTTGGATCCAGCTAAAGGTAAAAACAATTGCTGTAACATTTTTTTGTTGCAGCAGGAAACCATGAATAGCGAATACAGTACTATAAAGACAAAATCGGTAGCACACGGATACCTTGAGTTTGCTATATCGCAGGTGAGTTCGTTGTCACATTGTGTTTGATATGCCGTTATGTGACACGCACTTGCGAGATCATATGGATTTGTTTTACTGAAATCATGTGTTTTTATGGTGAATTCCTGATTTAGACCCCACCCCGCCCTCAAGCTGGGCGATGGGTCTTCATCTTCTTTCGCATGGCTAATGTAGACGCAGAGCAACAACTGCAATCTCACATTCAGGTGGTCAAGCCAGACAACCGCGCCAAGAGCAGTGGAGTGTATCATCACTGAGATGTCTCTTTCGTATTTGTGGATCGGGCGTTGCGTCGTTATATGCTGTACGGTCTGTTCTGGATGACCACAGTCACACACTACTGGGGAGTTTTTAATTTTCCACTTGTGCATCAGGTATCCGCATCTACTGCCGTGGTTTGTGCAGTGGATACAGTTTAGGGTGGACCATGAGCTTCGTGGAAGATCAAACCCAGGGATCTTCTTGCGTTGGCTCTTTCACAACAAGGCGGTGTTTGTGGGCGATGGGTGAGGGGCATGTCTAGTATGCGAGACTGAGACTGCGAGCGCAAGACATTGAAACGTCTCCTCGTGGTACATGCAGGCAGTGGTTTGCAAGGCTGGCACGGCCCGGTTTTATTCATTCGGGCTTTAATCGGTTTTTATATAAAACCGGAGCACCTGGATCCTGCCCAAATCCGGTTTTATTCGGTTTTATTAAAGTGAAGTCGGGATTTCAGTCGCACGCACCCATTAGCGGCGTTCGGGCCGGGGCCCGGGCTCAGCCGCCGTGCGCGTGAGTCACACGCACGGCGGCATGGCCACGTCGACCGCCGCTGCTGCTGCTGCGTCTGAGCGAAACTTCTCGACGATGGGATTGATCCATTCCAAGTTGAGGAACAGCCTGGCGCCCAGCACAGTCGAGAAGCTCGTCTTCATTAAGTCGAACCTCAACGCGTTCTACGACTACCCCACGCCCGGCGACGGCCACGACAACACCGAGTCCAGCGGCGAGAGCGACGACGAAGACGACGCGGCGGCGGACGACGACGACGAGGAGGAGGAGCAGGATTGAAGTGTGCACGAGACGCCGATAATAAAACCAGGTTTTAATCGGCAAAATCGGGTTTAATTCCATTAAAAGCAATAACCCGATTTGTCGGGCAAAAAAAAATCGGGTTTTTCCCACCCTTGAGTGGTGGTGCTGGCCTATTTGGTGACCCCGAGCAGAAATGGTTTTGCCCCTACCCCTTTCCTATCCATAAACTCATTGTGAGGCGACACGGAAGATGTAGCAGTTTTATATTGAATCGCTTTTTTAAATATTCCTTAGAAATTGAAATCGAGCTTAAATTTAGTCGACCTCTAGTGTCCTGAGTTCGAGACCCTGCATGATTATACAGTTCTATTCTCCTATAACGCGGTAGTTGCGTTCCTGAAGAACACCGCGTTATGGAAAATCGCGTTACAATAAATAATGTACGGGGTGCTTAAATTGTTTTAATACTTGTGAGAATGTGCAACAATACCACAAGAAATGTGCCTCCGGGCTCTGGAGACCACCTAGAGA